GTGGCCGCCACGGGGAAGAGCTGACTAATAAGCAGCAGAGCGCATCTTCCGTCAGATGTCTCCAGGTCTTGGATTTTCAACGTGACTGGGAAAAGTCACAGTGAGGCGTGAAGAGTAAACCAGTTTTCTCACGCCAGAGAGACATGCTCTCACCCCTCCTCGGAGCCAACAGCGACAATTAGTGTGCTCCGAAGAAAACCATGGAAATGGTAAGTCTCATTCACAGGACACCTTCAGCCACTGTCTTCCTGATGTACCTCTTATCAGTCAAGACAGGTGCAGCGGAGACCACTCTCTCCCCTCTCGCTTCAGTACTAACACCTGGGGACTGCGGCCTTACTTCGTAACAGCGTGCTCTCTGATGCTGCTTTATCCTGAAGGGCTACTTTGCTCTGGCTCCTTCTTGGTAAGGGGTTTTTCTCATCCTAGAGAACTGGCCAAAACCTCAACAGCTCAAGTGAAGCTCAAGCAGGCTTCTGAGTGGGAACTTCTTTGTCTAAAGTTCATACAACTACAAACTGACTAACAAGTAGCTCTGTTCAGAACCAAGACTCAAGTTCCTCCCTGTACACAGTAACTGCACCCTGTGCCTGGTGACCCTGGGTGCTGTTCCGGTGTTCTTCATCCAGGCGGTATTTTTAGGTTCTAGTAGGGCAAGCACCTCTTTGGAAAACCCAGCCTTGGCTTTCCCAAGATCCCAGCACTTGTGGGTAGCCGCTACAGCTCTCAAAGGTTGGGAGACCTCCTTACTGCCTCACTAGGTGTCTGCCAGCAGACTCAGGATAAGTCCTTTCCAGCCCCACAACCTCAGAGAACATCTGAGTCAGGCTGGTTGGGTTCAATCACTACCTCACTACCTTCTAGCTGTGTGACTTCAGCCAAACTGCCTAACTTCCTTAAGCCTCAGTTTCCTCATCTATAAAACAGGAATAATCTGTACTTGCACATTCCCAACAGGGATATTAGAAAGATAAAAATGAGCCCTGGCTGGCGTAGCTCAGTGGATTGAGCGCGGGCTGCGAACCAAAGTGTCGCAGGTTCAATTCCTAGCCAGGGTACATGCCTGGGTTGCAGGCCATAACCCCCAGCAACTGCACATTGATGTCTCTCTCTCTCTCTCTATCTCCCTCCCTTCCCTCTCTAAAAATAAATAAATAAAATCTTAAAAAAAAAAGTCACTAAAAAAAGATTAAAAAAAAAGAAAGATAAAAATGGTAACTCATGTAAAATACTTAGCATAATCTTTCTCACATAAGTACCCAATGTCAGCCTTATCGTCATCATCATCATTATGGTCAGTGTCCATAGATGTACCTCCAGATACACACATGGACATGTGTGATTAACACATGGGTATGGGGCACACCCAACACAGACACAGACATAAACAGTCATGGCCCTGGAACTTGCCACGGTAAGGAATGAAGCCAGACAGGGAGCACAGGAAGAGAAGCTAGCTCGGGACAGAGGCACAAGGGGGAAAAGGAGGATGACAACCGAGTCTGGGGCTCGATGAACTGACGTTCCTGGAAATATCCAGCAGGCAGCTGGTGTCGAGGTGTGAACCCAGGCGTCAGGTCTCAGGGAGCTCAGTGCCCCCAGAGTGGTGAAGATGCTGGGAGTAGAGAAGATACTAAAGAAATCCTATAAAGTGCAAAAAAGATCTGAATCTCAAAAGGAAACTTAGGAGAGCAGACCAAGAGTATCCCTTGGAAGGGGCTGAGAAGGAATCAATGTTGTTATCAAATCCAAGGGAAAAGACGGATTCAAGAAGGATGGTGTAGCTCCCCGCATGAAATGACACGGAGAAACATAGGAGGAAACAGTCATGAAAGAAACAAGACTGGAGGGAAAGTGGAAAAGTCGAATAAGGGATATCTGAAGTTTTAATTGAACTCTATGGAAGCAATCCATCCATCCTCTGATTCCATGAGCCTACATGCATAAGACCATGTGGTAGTGCTGTAAGATGATAATTAATGCAATGTGTGTGCATACACAGATACAGGACAAAACGAGTCAGTATGCATTCTGCCATAGGCTCCTTCAGACTTGTCCCAGGAAGAACGAGGGAGTGATGGAAACAAAGCAGGTTAAACCTGAGATGCAATAAGGAATTGGCCATTGCTGATGCAAAGAGAGACAGGTCTTCCTCAACTCAAATACTGACTCTCTGGTGGCCAAGGTAGCTGTCCCTCGTGAGAGACATCCACCTACTTCAGGGCCAGCTGGAGAGTCACAGGAAGGAACACTGCCAGGGTCCAGGGAAATCACATGCATTCAAAGGACAGACAGTATGGACTTCCGTTGGGCAGCTCTCATGCCCAAAGAGTGCACTCTTTGAGACAGAAGCACTGTCACCAAGAAGAGTCTATCAGAGGTCATCAAGTATAGGACTGAACCAGTGACTCCCAACCAGGGGCAATTTTGCACCCCCACGCCACCCAGGGGCCATTGGACAAGGTCTGCAGACATCTTGGTTTCTTGGTGTGTCCTGACTGGGGCGGGGCAAGGGGTGGGGAGTGGAGTGTCTTTACTGGCATCTAGTGGTACAGGCCAGTGACAACTGCTAAACTTCCTACGGTCACAGGACCAATCACCACCATCCATTTTCACCCCCTCCACCCACTGCAGTGAAGTGGGTGGGATCATCAGTCTAAAATGTGAGTTTGTGCCCAGGGTGTATAAACCCTGTACTGAAATAATGACCCAGCTTAACTTTTATCACAACTATTTTCTCCAAAGGCTTACATTTTCCTTTTATTATTTGCAAGTTACTTATGCATGCAAAATGTTGCCTTTCTTTCATATGTTGTAAAACAAGGAGAATCGTCATTTTTACTCCATTGTACAGTTGAGGAAACTGAGGCTTTCCAGAAATCGAACTCATGCATCCACTTCTCAGTAGCCCTTCTACTAAACAAAGAGTAACTCCTTTGTCTGTAAAAGTAGTTCTTTCTAGACTCAAAAATAACAGATTGAGTTGGTTTGTCATCTCACATACATTCCTGTCATTCAAGGCTCTCAGATATTTTACTAACGAGTCCTGCAAGGGCAAATGAGGCTCCAGAAGTCTTATACAAACACTCTTTTTTTTGTCTGCCAACGTCACCAAAGTCCATCTCTAGCTCTGCTTCCCTGAGAAGCACGACAAGGTTGATCCTGGTATTCATAAGCCAGTAGACACGAACTGGTTCGTGCCTGGATGAACCAATTCTAACCCAAGCTTGCTCAGACAACATATGTGGCTCATCTCAAGGCCAAAGCAAGCTTCTACTAAAACAGTTTCTACTAAAAGTCAACCTCATGTCATGTTTCAAGACATTTAACAGCACACTCAGTGGCATCATATGTGTTTTTTCACCCCCAAAGCTGGGGGTGAAACTCAATACAAAAAGCCCTGTGTGGGAACGAGAGTGAGCACATCTACCAGCTTGGGATCAGAAGCCAGCCAGGTGAAACGCATTCTGGGAAAGGAGGAGTCCAGGGGTTCTCCCCATTCATCTCTATGAGGACCAAGGTCGGCAAGGCCAGAAAGATTTTAGAGAAACACCTCAGAATCGGGAGAGAATGTCTTCTTTCCACTGAATTTGTTCTTTTATGAGACTAATAAGGCTCACCCCTTTAAAAAATCATCATCTTGAAGACTAAGAGATGTTGATATTCAAAAATCAGTGCTCATTCCTTCCCTTTCTCCATCAGAGACGGTGCAACTAAAAATTTTCAAGAGCCTCTCAGATATCATACATCTCAATCTATACCTAAAACTGACTACATGTAAGAGCATACTAGATGCACCATACAGATCATATGGATGTACACATATGGGTCATTACTCTGATGCAGAAATTAACACTGACCATGCAAATGATGTAGCCATACAATTAGACACAGAGCAACACTGAGGGCCTAGCACCTTGCTACTGAAGTGTGGTCCAGGGTGTTGCCATCGCTTGGGAGCTTGTTAGAAATGTAGAAATCCCCACCCAATCCCCAGAATGCAATTAAGCATTTTAACAAGATCCCCAGGGGATTCTTGACACTTTCAAGTTTAAGGAGCACCTCTCTAGAACTTAACTACCTTTACTAAAACCCAACTACCACTCTGTGTCTCGGAAGTGAACCCATTTGCTTTCACACCTTTTTCCTTCAGAAAAGGTATAATTACATGAGGTTAGCATATCACTCCTGCTTCACACGGTGGCAGATCTGGTGGGTCCCTGAGAACATTTACCGAACAAGGACGTTTCTAAGACAGAACTATCGCCCACATCGGTCTGGATGTGCCCTCCTTCCTCAGGGGTCCATTTTTTAATGGTAATGACTACTGACAATTTCCAAGCATGGAAGAGAAGAGCAGGGAGAAAGGAAAGGAAAAGGCAGTGAATTCTAAAAACAGAACAAAGCTCTTACTGACCAGTTTTCTAGTTGTAAACCTCTAGGCCACAGGGCCCACGGGCCGAATCTGGCCCCCACCTTGTTTTACCATGCCGGGCACCTTGTTTCTACCTGGCCGCAGCACCAAGCTCCTTGCCCCTAGTTAAGGAGACATTTATACAGTCCTAAAATTATATTCAGCCCTTTCGAAGGCAACTGCAAGGCTGATGTGGGCCCCGGTGAAAATGAGTTTGACACCTCTGCCCTAGGCAAAGAATTCCTTGTTTCTTTGTCCTTCACTTCTCCTGCTCTGGTGTAAGCCTGTGAGTCCATTCTGGAAGCTACACCAGGCTCAACCAGCGAACGCAGGTGGTGTGGTCCCAATTCTTCTCTAATAAACACAGCAACTCCTAGACAGCAGCCACCTGGGGGACCAGGAGCCTCACCTGCTCCCTGCTCTGGGGAAGCAACCATTCTCTCTTTCTTCTTCTGCCTAAGGCTTTTATTTTTTTGGTTTGTGGGTTGGTTTTTTTTTTTGGGGGGGGGGTTGTTTTGTTATTTTTTTACCTTCTCCTGACATGCATGTCATTACAGAGACTTAAGACAAGACAAGACAGACCCACCTGGAATCTCCGCATGTCACGTGGGTTTCCTGCATTCTTTAGGCAATTTTGGTTACATTTGAGAAAAAATTTCAAGAAGAACCTGGGAAGAAACAAATGATCATGATTAGCATTTCGGTCCTGACACAAAAGGGGAAAAGCAGTAAGTCACGCCTGGTTTGTGCATTCCATGCACATCTTCTGAAACACTCAGAACGGTGTCAGAACCCATATTTTGCTGGAAGCTCGAGCCTTTGTTTTGCATCCAAGCTGAGAGGGACAGCTCTCAGTACGGCCAAAAGTTCACACACAAAAATTAAGCCCCTAAGGAAGTATTCGTACTTAGACAAAGGGAAAGTCTTCTCCATAATTTAAGGTAGGTCCCAATTGGGTATAATTGCCTGACAACGACCATGGTCCCTAACAACATGTAATTTAAGCCCTGTAAACGCACAGATTGTGAGCCAGCCAAGTTCATAAGGAGATGGTAAACACTTTTTATCTTAGCACCTCCAAACAAAATATCCCAATTAGTAGTACCCATGAGAAGTAGGTAAGACTGATGTCTTGACTAAAGTCCTTTGGCTTCTCAAATATTTCCTGTATGTGAGGTCCATGGGCTTTACCTGCCAGGGTGACCAAGCGTCCCAATTTGCCAGGAAGAATCCCAGTGCACACCAGCTGTATTAGTGTATTAATAGTAACCACTTTAACTTCTAAAAATGCCCCATTATGGACAACAAATTACATGGTCACCCTATAACTTCGAGTTATTTCTTACATCACAGTCGTTAAACTCTATCAGGTGAAGGAAGCAGATATCAAAGGTGTCCTTCTAAGTCATTCATGTCGGCCACCTGCACATTCCGCACCCGCCCAGGTTTGGGGAAAGAAGCATTTTCAAAGCCAAGCCACCTTAAGGTCTTCAGCCCCTCTCACTTTTAGGGCTGTGGACCTCGGGCCCAAATAATTTCCAAAAATTTCAGAATGCTTTAAAATGCTGGTCGGTAACATTCTTAGAGAAATTTCCCCTTCTTTGCCTTTCCCCTACTCCAGATATATGCTGGAGTGCGATCCCCACCTTGCTGCACACACTCCACAAACAGCTCTCACACCAGGCTGCCTCGGCCTCAGTGTGGCTCTGAGCTCAGTCCATCAACCGAACCATGCCGGGGCCCTCAGGAATGAGAGCAGAGCGCAGAGACACGCCGAGTTTCACCAGTCCCTGCTTATTAAACTGAGACCATCCCAGAAGCTTCCCTCCCCAGCCTGGTACCTCAGCATCTGCCAAAAGGGGAGTATGACGAGGTAAGGAATAACTCCTTAAAGAGACACAATAACTTTTTATCAGCCAAAAGGATACTATTTCAAAATGTAAACATCTTCCTGAAATGGCTCTTTCAACATCATGCAACGTTCAGCTGCCTGTCAATAAACGCAGGCCTCTGAATGGCGTTGCCCCTGCCTCCGTGTTCTCTCCACAGAGGCCCAAGTTTACCCACCTTCCATACGAGACACATGACTCACGGGACAGGGCGGGAGCCCGAGTGCGTAAAATTACATCTGGCCCCGGCACCCCCTCCCCAGTACAGGGAGCAGCACTGCAATTCCCTTGGGGAACTGGCCAGTCCTCAATGCATGTCCCTTTCCACTGGGTAGACTAGGGAAAAGATGGGGGGTTTGAGACAGTGGTCACAATCCCAGATGCCCTTGCATTGTTCTTTTCCTCTGAGCCCTCAGAAGGCAAGTGCTAGGTGGCCCTAGCGATCCCATGTGGCTTCCAGAAAGTACTGACAGCGGCTGAGCTCAGCGGAGTGAATCCTGCTGGGGCTCAAGCCTACACCCAAAGACACCTGCAGTGTGAAGCCTGGGTGCTTTTTCACACACTGCTAGCTCGAAGCACGTACAGGAAAGCCATCCCCAGCCCCAGGAGAGGGCCGATTCCCACTAAGCTGAAAGTGAGAGCTGGTGTGGTGTGGTGGAAGAGCCACAGCCTTTAGAAACGCCCAGAGAGGGGTTCATATCCCAATTCCGACAAGCACTGCTGTGTGACTGTGGGTAAGTCACTGAGCTTCTCTGAACCACTCTTTCTTTACCAACAATCGGGTATAAAAGCTGTCCCTACCTTATAAGGCAATCGTGAGAATTAACCACAATGATGTATCATGCCTGGCAACATGGCAGGCGTGGTGATGGTGGGAGTAATGAATGACTTCATGTATTAGGTCCTTACCTCACGCCTAGCACAGGGTTAAAAATTTCATATATGGGTGGGGGGAGTAGGTTTACAGTTGTTCACATGGAAAATAATACAATAATTAACAAATAATAATAAAAGAATAAACTCTGTAAACCTACTTTGACCCTACCTTTTACATTTTCCCATTTAATCCTCCTAAATGACCTCTGTTATTAATCCCATTTTATAGATGAGAAAACTGAGGTTCAGAGAAATTACGTAACATGTAAGGTTAGCACATGTGAACCTCTCAATCTGGATGGAGCATGCATTCTTAACCATTATGCTATTGAGTAATAAAAGAAGTAGTACAGTATTGATACATATACCAACTGTACCATCAACAGCTATTGTACCACCCTCACAATTCTGCTCATTAGAGTAAATACGCGTAAACCATACAAGTAGGAAGAATTGTCACTATTATTATCTCAATGCCGGCAGCGTGAATATAGTGCAGGGAGACGTCACCACCACTCTCGCTCCCTCCTGGCTCCCCAGGGTCCATGGTATTTGCCGCCTGTGTGTGTTTAAGCCATTTGAGCCTGGACCCGACAGCCAGATTCAGATTGTGTTAGAAGGAGCTGTCAGCACACCCTCTGGCATCTCCGAGTCAGACAACTGCTAGCCGCCGTGAGGGGGTCCATCTGGTGCCAACGTGGGTTTTGAAAGACAGGCAAACAGGACGCGAGCTCGGCCAGAGAGAAACCAAACCGAGGGAGCCGGGGATCTTCTGCCTCCAGAGCGAGCGAGCGGGGGCGAGACGCCTGTCAGCGGCCCATCGTTAGCACAGAAGCTATGCCGGGCGCACACCGGATCCCTGTCCCCGTCACCTGAAGCTGCCCTGTCACTTGGCGTGCTGGCTGAAGCCGGCAGAGGATCGCTTGCTGAAACCGAAGGCCTGACCATCTGTCGTGGGGAAGGGACAGCGCCAACTGGTGCCCGGGGCCTTGCACAAGCCCTTATGTGGCAAAGACGCTCTGCAGGGCCCATTCTTCTTGGGAGAGCCAGCCCTACCCCAGGGGGAGCCTCAGGAATTCTTTCAAAGTTTTCCCCTCCCTAGATGCCAAATGTCTGACCCTTCTGATCGCCCTTCCTTAAAGGAACTGAGAGGAGTTAGAAGCAGGAGTTAAAAATATCCGCACCCAGAGACAGAGTTAGACGTGCAGGGCAAATTTGGGGGATGGTGTTTATCGGGCTGTTGTTAAGGCGTTTGTAAACCCAGGGACCCGTCTGCTGGCCCACGGAGAAGGTCTCAGGTTCCGAGGGGGCTTTTAACAAAGTGGAGGTTCTTGTAACTGGAAACCTCACTTTTGTCTAACGAATTACCACCGTTTGTGTGGCGGGTGTGTTTGATAAAGTGTGTCAGGAGAAAGAGTGTGGCAGCCTTACCCCAGCCGTGGGAAACGGACCTGCGGCAGGACAAAGCCCCCATTGACCCTGCGGAGCTGCAAAGCAGTTCCATAAACCCCAGGAAACAGCCCCACCAGGACCACGCTCCGGTCTTCTGGGGGTGGGGGCAGGGTGGCAGGAAACCCGACACTTTGTCGTTAACTTTCAAAACGAATAATGTCATTTTGTGTTCATACGGTGTGTTACTTGATTCAAAGCGCCTATGTCCCTGGTCTGTCGCTGAAGCCTCAGAGAAACCCTATAAATTAGGCATGGCAGAAATTATCAACCCATTTGAAAGGCAAGAAAACGAAGACTCCATAAAATGAAATACTTATCTTCAGTCAAAACTAAACTAATACACTACACTGCTAAAAGGACCCATTACGGTAGGAGTTTTCTCCATGAATTACAGGACTTGGTAACTGACCTTAACCATCACTTAGCCCAGCTCCCTCATCGTGCCTCTGAGAAAACGGAGAGGGATCAAGAGACGTGATAACAGGCACACAGGTTCATCAGTTATGAGAGCCTGAACTATCACCCACGTGTCCTGACTTCCGGTCGTACGGTTTTTCCCAAATAACGTTAGCTTTTCAGAAGTCAACCCAGGAAGAGCTCCATACTTGAGAGATTGAGCGTTTTAGTCCACTACCTCAGTTAGAAAAGTGCCCGTCATAAAACCCAATGTGACAGCCTATTAAAAAGTTGTGTTTCAGTTCATCCGCCAGGCTAATGTAAGACATCAGCCCATCACTGAACATTAACCAAACTGAACCCACATATCAGTGGAATAAAATCGTTTCTTCACAGATTTACTGATACCACATTTTACCAACCGACAGACACTCTGTATATGGAATAGCTTCCATGTGAGTAACACGGTGCTGGACACCCAAAGGAAAATTCACTGAATTAACCAGAACGATCTGACCCATCTATATCAGGATGTAAGGTAACAAAAAGTCAATTGTGTATCCCCAGCAGACAGCACAGGACTCAGAACCCAGTGGATTTCTAGCAAACATTTGTTCAGCTAAACAGAATCCAGGACCTCTACAACACAGACAGTAGGAGAGTATAGTGTTGGACTAGGGTTAGAGATAATATGAGCCTGGGTGAATTTCGATAATTCCCTTGACTCTCCCCCAGTGTCCTCATTAAAACTTGGGAGCAACGGCATCTCTCTCCCAGAACTAGTATGCAGTTTTCATCATAATCCTAGCTTCACTGTGTAATTAATTGTATGACTTTAGACAACTTCTTTTACCTCTATGCGCCTCAGTTTTCCCACCTGTAAAATGGGGGAAATAACAAACCTGCTTCAGAGGGTTACTGAGCATTCAGTGAGTATCATAGGTGGAGTGTTTGAATAGTAACTGGCATAGAAAAAGCAATAATTATGTTCATTATAATTTATCCCGGGCACCTGGTCACCACCAAGCACTCAGAGATGTGGAAGTTTTCAAATA